TAGATAAGTGCATTATATATATATGATGTATATATATATATATATATATATACTATATATTATATATATGAACATGTATATAATTATTATTATGCATGCATGTAGTATATTTACATTTGTATATATTATACGATAATAATAAAAATGTAAATGACCGCGCGAAAGATGCTGTGCATTGGGAAATTTCGCTTTAATTTCGAAAAATCGCTTACAATTTCCAATTTTGCCGCATGAATCCACCACACATCCATATATTCATAGCTAATATTCCTGCAGCAATATTCAATGACGAATGGCCGCTTAGCGCTTCGGGTCGCCCAGAGCCGTATATAGAGATCTCTATAATACGGCTCTGTGGTCCGCCGCGTTGCCCATCGAGGCCCATGCACCCCTATATGGAAACAGGTAGTAAGCAACACCGGCGTTGATAGCAGTAATACAGTGAAATTCACTTAATAGAACGCGGCAACTAACAATTGCTAAAGCACTATTTTGGCCTTACTGCTGGCAGTTATACACTAATACCACGATAATTTCAGCAGCAATAGCGGTGACGTGTAATAACTAATCATATACACTTAGAAGGTTAGCACTTGTAGGTAATCTTTCCTTATTGGTTGTGGTTATATTGTACATGTTTAGGAGGAATACTTGCATGAGATGAGCGCAATAACGCGCTCGGTAACAGATCGTGCGAGCCAGAGCGTCCGTCGCGTATAGGACAAGATAAATCTTCTTCGGCCGTTCTTACACGGTCAAACTGGAGCCAGGCAGGCTGACAGACATGCGCTTGGTAAAATCCATTCAATAGTATTCACTTTGATCGCAAGCATCACGCCCTGGTACTCCACTATGCCGATATTTATTTACTGCTGCAGATGGCGCCTGTGCGCTCGGTCACTGTGACTGCAAGAGAATTGTCTTCGGGCGTTCTCATTCGTTCAAACTAGTCGCGGGCGGGCCGACGGCACGTGTGCATTGGTAAAATCTGATTCTACATCCTTCACTTTCTCGCCAGCTCGGCCCCGCCACCGATTCCCAGATATGCGACACGAAAAAGGGGCTGCGACGTCGGTAGCGCCTTGACTGCCAAGATAATTTTTCTTGGCCGTTTTCTTACGTTTAAACTGAAGCCGTAAATTGTCGTAATCACAAACTAATGCGAGTGTCGGTGTGTTATGTAAAACCCCATTGATCCAGTGTCGTCATATCATCCCATTCTCGTATCTTGATCCGGGCGGCCTTGTCAGTAACATCGTAAAGTTAATGCTAATGTTAATGCTAAGATAGCACTTTCGACTATTGTATAGTACTAATTTTGTTCTCTGACAACGCGGTTATTTTCTTGTTTACACTTTAGTAATTAAAAACTCTACTCTTTCAAAAAATCACAGAGTGATCATGAGGCCAAAGAAATGAACTTTAATAATAACAAACCACACATTCTATTCATCGCTCAGTGCCGTAGGAAAATATATACACGATAACGGCTTTTTATAGCACGCATAACCTTGCACTTCGAGCTCGGCTAAAGTAGTACAAGTAAAGATAAACGACAATCAAATTTGTATAACATCTTCGCCTAACAGAGCATGTATATTTGAATTATCTAAAACTAAGCATGTAAATATTATTCATATTCCACATAAATAAATACATCGTTATTCCTAAACCTGTATTATGCATTCTATCTCAGCGGCGCCCCGCAAGCAAGGCTGCTTAGCCTATATAATCAAGGCTAAACATAGCCACATTGATTACACGACATCAGTCTCTTTCTCTCTCTCTCTTCTTCTCTCTCTCTCTCTCTCTCTCTCTCTCTCTCTCTCCTTCTCTCTCTCTCTCCTCTCTCTACTCTCTCTCCTCTCTCTCTCTCTCTCCTCTCTCTCTCTCTCTCTCTACTCTTCTCTCACTCTCCTCTCTCTCTCGTCTCTCTCATCTCTCTCTCTCTCTGTCTCTTTCTCTCTTTCTCTCTCACAGTCTCTCTCCTCGTGCGCTCTCTAGTCGACTGTGGGTTCTCTCACTATGCTTTTTTAGCGGTAGTTTGCCGCGGATATTAATATGGATTCTTTAGGAGAACCTATATTATGCACTCCTGGTGGCCATGTTACGTCGATGGTGGCTGAACGCCATGGCATATCTAAGGGCTGAATAAAGAGCTAATGGGTAGGGTGGGGTGGGGCATGCTGCGCGGGTGCGGGGTGGGGTGGGGTGGGGATGGGGTGGGTGGGGGGCGGGGTAATAGGTGCATAACATATTAAGTATCATAAGAATATTACGAAACGATAGTTGTTATCGGCGGAGTCACGGGACACGAAACCTCTCACTTGTCTAGAGGTTATAGATGGCTCTACATTGTTGGCCAAGGATTGAAAAACGCCGAATGTAAAAGGGGAGCGGCAAGGACACGTAAGGGCATTATAACACTGTACTGGCCTAGAGTGTAATAAAGCACGTTCTGTAAACCACGTCTAGACATTTTTCTATCGTACCACACAGTCTTTCGTGTCTCTCCTAATTGTGTGCAGTGACTACAAAGATCACACGAAATAATCAACATCACAGTCACACTTTTATAATAGCTAACCAATCAACACAGGACAGTGAAAACATGATTAGCCCATACCAAACCAATTGCAAATCACTTCGTATACATTTTGAACGCCACTTAAATTTCTGCATCTGCCGTGCACATATCGACACATACTACTGTAGAAGCGGCCACTTTGCGTCGTCCATATTTATGAATTATTTTTTATTGCCATCCATGAGACGTTGATGAGACAGATGTTCAAGTTATTGTTAATTAGATAAGCCATGCACATTATATAAACATCGAGTTTATATCGGTTTAAAGGCACCGCTTTCCAGTGTAACTAAGATCGATTATTAGCAACTGATGCCTAGAATTATCATCGGACCTTCTTAGAAGCGTGTCAAATGCGTTCTGTGCCTTTTCGAGCTCGTGCGGACTGCCAGCGTCATCTAGCGTCCAATGATGGTCGATGTAGCCCTGCACGATAACTTCAGGGTCCGTGGTGAATTTCGTCCGGGTTCTGATCAGCCGCTCCTGAATATAACGGGCGACTCCTCCCATAGTGGAGTCGCCAAATACGAGCACCTAAGGTGTAAAATATTTGTGACTGTTTAATCTTGTTCGATAGTTCTGAGACAGGCGAAGCTCATCTAGAAATCTGCGCACAGTAGCTGGCTAAACACTAGCACCATGTCCAACAGTTGCACGCGGCCGTCTAGGTTATATATGATACAATGTTAATTATTGTGCATTAATTTCGTATCCGCAAACGCTCAACATCCATAACTTCTTTTGGGCGGGGGATCGAAGTTTATTTGAAGAATTTGAAGATCGTTATAGTTTCAGTGACACCGAACACAAAAGATAAATTTCAACAGAGATGAAGATGTTTTCGCAGTGAGAGGTGATCGAAATACCTTCCTCCCTGCCAAGCACATTCTAACGGCTACGTCTGAGAGAGAACTGCTCCGACAGTTTACAGGTTGCCACTGCGCGTCCTTCCACGAACATTTCTTTTTGTCGGTGCAGGACGAGCATGGAATCACCCAACGACCTGCGTAGGCAACAAGGTCACATACGTGACTGGTGGATAACGTTCACATAATGACGACCAGTCAGCGTGCAGTTATATAGTTACAGAAGTAGATAATAGGGAATTTCCCCTATTATCTACTTCTGATAATTATAAGCCTAAGCTTAACCCCAACACTAACCCTAACGCTAACCATAATAACGGTAGGCTGGCGTTATTTTGACTGCGGAAACTATTCAACTGCCTTCAGGACATTGATACTTGATCATCGATAAGGATACTTTAATTAGCTGTTTGCCTAATATTATAATTAGGCATTAAACAGTGCGCGACAGTGCAATATATAGCACCTGGCAAAAGCGTAATGAACATAACGATAACAGTGTGCAGTAGTTCGTGTACAGTAGTCATAACAGGATCGGAATTATGAACAGCCCATGAGTTATATAGTTTACGGGTTTATGACATTATAGGACGTTCAGTAGTGGAATATATTGTCTCGCAATTATTTCTAACGTGGTTCTAACTGATTCGTGTATTACGTGAGGTACATTCACGTCTACATTACATCAGATCTCAAGGGCGGATCTAGGTTTTAACTAAGGGGGGGTTTACCTGAGGTGATTGGCCTACACACCCCAGCGTGCCGAAGGCACGCCTTGCTAGGGGGGTCCGGGGCATTAAACCCGTAAATCATGCCCATCTCAAGATAAATCTAGATAGATATCGATAAAGATCTGATCTCGCAAGATCATCTAGATCCCTGGTTCCCAACCGGGGGTACTAGTACCCCCTGGGTGTACCAGCGAACACCACAGGGGGTACCTAGAAGGCCTCTTAGACAATTTTTAAAAAGTAGTGCTATATAATAATCAGCGGGTGATTCAGGCACATGGTCCGTTTTCCCGGACAGTCACTGATTATATGAAACCTCATTGAAGCGCACGGAGCATATGGTGAGCGTCTTCCTGTCTTGGATACGGATCGATCTAAGTGGTCTGATTGAGTACTGAGCGCTCTCGGATTATCATTCAGTTTGGAGCACAATGCCGCCTAAAAAGCGTAAATACAATGATGATTATGTCAAGCTAGGATTTACATGTATAACTGGTAGTGATGGTGTTGAGAAGCCGCAATGTTTCTTGTGTGGAAAAACATTTTGTAATGATTATATAAAGCCGACAAGAATGAAGTCGCATCTCCAGACCGACCACCCTCTTCGCGTCAATGATTCGGCTGATCAGTTTTGTCAGAAGAAGGCCAGATTCGCGATTGCTGGTAAGCTAACGACGGGCCACGGGTTCGTGCCAACCCAAAAGCCAGCCCTTAATTCGTCTTATCGTGTGGCCTATCGAATAGCCAAAGTGAAAAAACCTCACACAATCGGGGAAACCCTTATCAAGCCATGCACCCTGGAAATGGTCCAACTCATGTGCGGCGAGCAGCATCGCAAAGCTCTTGAAACCATCCCACTGTCGGATAATGTCATCAAACGCCGCATCAATGACATAGCGGACGACATACTCGTTTCGGAAATCAAAGCCAGTCTATACAAAATAAGTATGCAATTGGACGTGTCTACAGACTGCGCTCAATGTAGCCAGAAAACCACCACAAAAGCAACGGATGTTCTGGATCTGGTTACCACATTCATGGACAAGCACAATATTCCAATGGATAAGCTGGGATCTATGTGCATTGACGGTGCGCCAGCGATGCTTGGCAATAAGTCGGGATTTTGTGCGTTGGTCAAAAGGTTGGTACCGGACGTAACCGTTACCCACTGTGTCTTATACCGCCATGTCCTTGCATCCAAAAGTCTACCACAGGATTTCAAGGGCATTATGACGAACGTAGTCTCGGTTGTGAATTTCATACGTAGTCGAGCTTCGAACCACAGACTATTCCTAGCCTTTTGCAAAGAGATGGGGAGCGAGCACGAAGTTCTGCTCTATAACACTGAGGTGCGATGGTTATCCCGGAGACGTGTCTTCACAAGAGTAGGCCCCCTATACGAACTTAGAAAAGAAATTGAATTGTTTTTGCGCGACAAAGGTAATACGCTGCATGAAAAATTGAGCGATACTTCATTACCTCACTGGTCTATATGTCTGACGTATTCACATTGCTCAATGAGCTCAATACTTCGCTTCAAGGCCGTCAAGTTACACTCATCGACGCGCAAGAGAAGATAGCGAGCTTCAAACAAAAACTACAGCTTTGGAAACGACGTGCAGCCAGAGAAAACGATGCCAGTTTCCCAACTCTAGACAGCTGTTTGGCGGAAATGGACGATGGACAGCTATCAGATTCCGTATCCTCATCAATCAGTAGCTACCTTGAAAGTCTGGCCAATTCATTCGATGGATATTTTCGAGATCCCGTCGAAAGGCAATCCGCGCTGTCCGAAATTGGATCTGAAATCCGTTCCTCTGCGATTTGGACTCTATTGATGATCAGAATGTGTTCAAAGAGGACCTCATCGACATTATTCCTAAACAGCCACTCAAGCGCCTCCTAGAAACAACGTCAGTAACTGAATTTTGGTGCAGTCAGGAGATACGCGAGGCCTACCCGGCTATGGCTCCAGAAGCTATTTCCGTTCTAGTTACGTTTGTAACCAGCTACCTGTGTGAAGCAGGTTTTTCAACGATGGTTACAATCAAGACAAAAGCCCGTAACCGCCTTGACATCCGCGGAGACATGAGAGTCAGTCTGTCAAAAACTGAACCGCGGTTCAAACAGTTAGTTTCTGCCATACAGCAGCAGCCTTCTCATTGAACTGTCGTTTAGTGCACAGTGCGCTTGATTGGAAAAATTCGCCGTGTGACTGCATTAATAAAACATAAACATGATGTCAAAATATTCATGACAATACATCAGTGTTGGTTCTTCATTTTGCTTATGGTGGGCGAAGGGGTACCAGGAAATAGCGTAAAAAATTAGGGGTACCAGGGGCGGATTCAGACCGTATTTGCCGTATTGGGAAATACGGTCTAGATTTCAAAGTGCCCTTCAAAAGTTTGCGCTAAAAAATACAGAAAACAATTTGATGGAATTTGGCTATATTCTTTATTTGTTTTCTTTTTCTTCTGATTCATTGACTAAGGAAATCAAAATTTTACATGGTAGCAAAACTAGCTTTGATATCTGAAAAAGAAGGGAAGTGCTTGAATCATTCTGCATTAATTGCTGGTATGCAAAGCGCAGGCAAAATGAAGCAGAAATAAAATTCCATATTATGGTTTTTAGCTATTGCTGCTTGACTGAATGTATGCTCAAATGGTGCTCATTTTTGTGACCAGGGACCCTTGAAATTTTAAAATTTCCTGGGGGAGGCCCCCCAGACCCCTCGCCATGTGCTTCCGCGCCCAACGGCGCCCACTAGCTGTGGGGAGGTGTGCCCTTTTTGGGGGATGTGCCCTTAAAATCTGAAAAAATACTGTCTAGCTTCAGCCCTGGATCCGCCCCTGGGTACGGGGAGTCCAAAAGGTTGGGAACCACTGATCTAGATGAATATTTGCGTTTGGCTAACGACGACTGCGTTGGGAACAGGTTTTGTTAAGAACTAACCGCTCAAAAGGCGCAATCATGAATACGTGATGTTGTTGGAACTAAAATGACAGTCACGCCGACAGACACAGAGCTAGATAAATGCGTAGATGATCAGATGTGTATTTACTTTGGAGTATTTGGCGACTCAGTAATTTAGAAAAAATTGCCCAAGTGTATAGACAATGTTTGCACACGTATTCAGGAAGTATGACATGCGCGGGCGTTTTTGCGGCGCAAATGTTATAGAAACATATAATCGGATTGTTCAGATATCAAATGCGCCTCCACGCAATCCTCCCTCCCCCGGATAGAAGCCACGAATGAAAATGTAGCAGAGTATGCTCTGCATGTTATACAACTTGGGGGTGTCCAGCGGTGCGAGGCAGAACACGCCTCATTTAGCGCACCATCAGCGCGTTTCATACCCAACTCATTTCCGGTGATGCACTGTGGAAGCGTTCTCCTGGCAATGCTGAGAGCTGATAAACTGGTGGCAGCACCTAGCGGATGTAGCCCGCATTCCCGTGATGGATCAAAAACCAAGGAACAATCCTGTGACGTTACAAACAAAAAACAAACTAAACACGTATCATCTGTGATTATAGACGAATCGGCCACCATGCAGTCGACAACCAGCCTAATACCCCCCCCCCCCGACAGGCCTACACCCGGTCGAATATAAGTGGAAGAGGCTCGCATGACTAGTATAGGCCAAATGGTTGCTAGTAACAACTTCACTGTTACGGAAAATATGCCTTGCCCCTGAAGTGTTAATTTCTACATTTTCTCTGATAACTTTGGATTTCATATTTCATAGTTTCAGACATTCATTCGAGAGGATTTTATTGATCTGACACAATTCTATTAAGTTAGGTAGCAAGGTCTAGTCACAGAAGTCGTCTATGCTAAATGGATAATTAGTGAACGCCATAAGTTTGTAAAATACGAGATATGAATGTATGAAAATTCGCACAATTTCACGGTAATGGCCGCAAATCTGCAGTAGTCTTCTTTGAATTAATATCGAAACCCGGGAATATCAATAATAATATATAAACAATAATACGTAGAAATGATATGTACACAGTGAGTCAAAAGGCACCTGACCAGTCTTCAGGGAATATATGAAATATTGTATGTCACCTTTCGAAGCTTTTTTTCCTTTTGAACGATTGCGCCCAGCTAGCCAAACCTCTCTTACTATTCCCACAGTCTAGGTTTGTTAAAGTCTGTGTCATAGCTTGCCGTGCGGCCTAGGTGAAACCCTCTTCGATCTCTCTTGCTGTGATCTTCTCTTTCTATCTCTCTCGCTGTCGTTTTTCTCTTTCCTCTCGCTCGCTCCCTTCACCCTTCATCTCTCGCTCTCTCTCTCTCTCTCTCTCTCTCTCTCTCTCTCTCTCTCTCTCTCTCTCTCGCTGCGATCTTCTCTTTCTATCTCTCTCGCTGTCGTTTTTCTCTTTTCTCTCGCTCGCTCACACGCACACGCGCACGCACACGCGCACGCTCACGCGCACGCGCACGCACACGCACGCACCCACACACACACACACACACACACACACACACACACACACACACACACACACACGCATATAATTATACACTTGCGCATCAATTAAACATGCTCCGGGAGAGCGTAGCCTTGTGAATGACGGATGAAATAAGATACTCTTAGATGTTAATTTTCACGCGCATTAAACTTTGAATAAATTTCATCAATTAAATTCTACCTATTGAAGCATAGTTGTAGCATATGTTATGAAACGCTACTAGCTATAGGGACGCAGGCTATAGCTAGTGCAGTTGGGCGTACACTGTAGGCCCCTATATGGATATTCGCAGAGTAATTGGTATCTATAGTAGCTAGATGTATATAAAATCACCCAATCATGATGTTACATCGGTACATTTCACACAGTTATATATAATGTTTTTCTGCCCCAGTTCTTGCACCCAAAATGCATGGCCGAATGAGGTTGTACAATGTCAATGGTAAAAAGACAATCGTTGAAATCACGACTACAAATATGACGTCACAGAGAACGCTACAGAGAACAGTAGGCTGTAGGCAGTTCCATACACTTCGATATTTGTCCGATAGTAAACACGACACGTATTTTGTCGTCGTCGCATTAGACGTTAAATATCAACAGAATTAACACAACCAGAGTGAAAGCCATGAAAACATCGTGGGCCGCGTAAGTAGTACTTATTTCAACGTTGTCATTGTTCATAGTGGAGTTTGTAGAGTTATTTTAGCAAAATTACCAAAAGCAAAAATAATAATTTCTAGTAACGTTACTAAAAACTTGATATGACGCATGATCTACATTTTGTTGATGGGCTAGCACACTGTCACTGGTCTTCACTTTGCACCATGATACATATTATGCGCCTATCCTACTATCCTACTATAATATTAATTACGATGTTTTAATTGTGATTTCAGGTAGGCCTATATGGCGTTGAAATAAATGATATCAGACAGTCAGGGAAGGCGAACTTCCGACTTTTATTTAGGTATATATTTGTGTCTAAACCGCAGTCTAGACTATAGCTTTCCGCGTGTCTGCTAATTCTCGTCGTTGTTCTTGTTTGAAAATCGAATATTATTGCATTGGAGAGCGAGCAGAGAAAATTCTCTAGCTCTTAGTAAAGCTCTTAGCTTCTCTAGCTCTTAAACTAATAAATAAGCTACATATATATTATATAATTTAATTGTATCCCCGAACGAGTTCGGGGGGATACTATGGATTTGGCCTCGTCGCGCCGCCGCCGCCGCCGCCGCCACCGCCGCCGCAGATATTTCCTTGTGAGCGCTCTACCGGCTGCAGTTCTTCTCGGATCATCTTCAAATTTCGCATGAAGGTGCGTTATCGTAAAGCAAAGACGCCAATAGTTTTTGGTGTGGGCGGAGTCATCGTTGCCATAGTAACAGAATTTGTTGTCGAAATATTCTAGAACCTGTAACTTCTGCAGTTTTTACCCGATTGTCATGAAATTTGGCACACAGGACCAATATATACATACATATCGGCATCTGGGAAGCCGCGTATTTCAACAAATAGGCCTACGGAATCTATTTAGATTTCGTATTTGTTGGCCCGCGCATTTTAGCTTCGTGTAAACACTAACTACCGAATTTGTTGCTCCGTGTGAACGCGGCTTCTATGTCCACAATGTGCAGTGACGTCACAATAGCTCAGCCGTAGTACGTCACCTTGCAGGATGCCTGGAGCTAATCCTATGGCACGGAAAGCTAGCAAATAAGAAGGCTGCGAAAATAATGCGATAAAAAAAGGACGCCGTAGCCTGAAGTCCCGTAGATGAGAAAGTGGGCACAGAGCAGCGCACCCTGGTGCTGGAAGTGATGATCAAACATGCCGATGATTCGATTCACGGATCGAATGCTTCGATTCACGGATCGAATGCTTCGATTTACGAATCGAATGATTTGATTCACGGATCGAATTATTCGATTCACGGATCGAATGATTCGATTCACAGATTGAATGCTTCGATTCACGGAATTACGTGCTTTCCGGCTGGCCGGCTCTGTCCCGAGCCACGGCTCACTTTGATCTCAGGCCCGACCGCCGACCTTCCCGTCTCTGTTTTTTACATTCCCCTTGACACCGGTTGCGTTCCCGCATCGCCATCACTTCCCTGGCGTGTGGGATTTGCCCGCTTACAATATATTGTGCATTCTGCAAGCTCACCACCTTCTCCCCCTCCTCCTTCGCCACCTCCTCCCCCTCCTCCTCTTCCACCCCTTCCTCTACCTCCTTCCCCTTCATTCCCTTCTCCTTCTTCACCACCTCCTCCCCCTTTTTCTCCACCAGCTTCTCCCCCTCCTCTACTTCCTTCACATTCTCCCACTCTCTTCTACCTCCTCCACCCTCTCCCACCATCCTCTACATCCTCCCTCTTCTTCTACCTTCTCCCCTTCCTCTGTCTCCTCTCTCCCCTATCTCCCCACTCCTCGTCCTCCTCTACCCCCTCCGTCTTCCCCCACCATCCTCTACCTACTCCCTCTTCTACCTTCTCCCTCTCCTCTACCTCCTCCACCTTCTCCCACCATCCTCGACTTCCTCCCTCTTCTACCTTCTCCCCCACCACTACCTCCTCTCTCCCCTAACTCCCAACTCCCCCTCCCCTCCACCACATTCTCCCCCTCTACCTCCTCCCTCCTCTACCTCATCGCCTACCACCTTCTACCCTCCTCCTCCCCTCCTTCTCCGCTACTTTCTCCCCCTCCTCTACCTCTTCCGTCTTCTCCCACCATCCTCTACCTACTCCCTGTTCTACCTTCTTTCTCTCCTCTACCTCCTCCACCTTCTCCCACCATCTTCGACCTCTTCCCTCTTCTACCTTCTCCCCTCCACTACATCCTCTCTCCCCTATTTTCCAACTCCCCCTCCCCTCTACCATATTCTCCCCCTCTACCTCCTCCCTCTTCTACCTCCTCCCCCTCCTCCCCCCACCTTCTACCTTCTTCCTCGACCTCCTTCCTGTACCCCTTTTCTACCTCCTTCCTGTCCCCCTTTTTTCCCTCCTCCCCTTTTTCCCTCCTCCTTCTCCACTACCTTTTCCCTCGTCCTCTACCTCTTCTACCCCTCCCCCCTCGACCTCTTCCCTCCTCTACCTCCTCCCCCTCCTCCCCCACCACCTTCTACCCTTCTCCTCGACCACCTTCTACCCTCCTCCTCGACCTCCTTCCTGTACCCCTTTTCTACCTCCTTCCTGTCCCCCTTTTTTTCCCTCCTCCCCTTTTTCCCTCCTCCTCCTCCACTACCTTTTCCCTCGTCCTCTACCTCTTCTACCCCTCCCCCTCGACCTCTTCCCTCCTCTACCTCCTTCCCCATTACCTACTCTCTTCCTCGACCACCTTCTACCCTCCTCCTCGACCACCTTCTACCCTCTTCCTCGACCTCCTTCCTGTACCTCTTTTCAACTTCCTTCCTGTCCCCCTTTTCTACCTCCTCCCCTTCTGCAGGCCGGCCGGTGAGCACAAGACGCCTTGATCGCTCCCTCTACCTCTACTTCCTCCCCTTCTCCTCCTCCACTACCCTTTCCCTCGTCCTCTACCTCTTCTTCCATCCCTTCTCCCCTCCTCCTTCCCCCTCTACCTCCTCCCTTCTCTACCTCTTCTCCACCACCTTCTACCCTCCTCCTCGACCTCCTTCCTGTACCCTTTTTCAACCTCCTTCCTGTCTTCCTTTTCTACCTCCTCCCCTTCTCCCCCTCTTCCTCCTCCACTACTTTTTCCCTCGTCCTCTACCTCTTCTACCTCCACCCCTTCTCCCCTTCACCTCCCTCTCTACCTCCTCCCCCTCCTCCTCCTCGACCTCCTTCCTGTACCACTTTTCTACCTCCTTCCTGTCCCTCTTTTTTACCTCTTCCCCTTCTCTCCCTCCTCCTCCTCCACTACCTTTTCCCTCGTCCTCTACCTCTTCTACCTCCACCCCTCCTCCTCCCCACTACCTTCTCTCGTCCTCTACCTTCTCTCCTTCCTATTGTACCACCTTCTCCCCTCCTCATATACCTCGTCCCTCTTCCTCTATTTCGATTCACGGATCGCATTATTCGATCCGTGAATCAAAGCATTCGATCCGTGAATCGAATCATTTGATCCGTGAATCGAAGCATTCGATCCGTGAATGTTATATGTGATAAAATCAACCATAAAACAAAAAATAGAATTATGAAACAAAATACATGCCATATCGCCATATGCCATAGTGCCTGTGCTCTGGTGGCAATCAATGACACAAACCGGCACCCACGTGTCACGTGGCCGAAATTATCCGGAACTACGTCACAGACAAGCGCAGATTAACCAGATTTGCTGGTTGAACTTGAAGGCGGCAGATCAGCAGTTTAGCAGTGTAAAATCAGAGTCACGTTTTTTGCACGTTCTCGGCTATCTCTTAATATTTAGTGTATGCGAATGACATGGCGAAAGTAAGTTTAGTCGCTGCAGCCTGCAACTCTATGGGAATAGGCTATAAAGGAGATCTTCCATGGAGACTGAAGTAAGCTCGTTTTCCACGCGTAGGGCCTACCTCAGTACCTGGCGTGAGGGCCTAAGCCAGGCCAAGGATAGAGAACATGGGTCCCAATAAAACCAACGCACGCACGCACTTCAACTTGTAGCTGTAAATTGTACTGTAAATGTATTGTAAACAGAACAAACTGACAAAATCACATTGTGACAAAACCACAAAGACAACCTGACAACTAGCTCCAAGAAACGGTATTGCTAGGGTTAGAATAGGTGTATTGACGTTAGTCACACAGCCTGGTCGGGTTACCTGACAACTAGTAGTACTAGTAGTACCAGGAGTAAGATAATATAGGATCCTATATTATCTTACTCCTGGTAGTACTAGTAGTACTGTTTTGCACGCGCGCACTTTCGCTCCACAACAGCCAGCAGGTCTGACCTTCGCCCAGTGTTCACAGTGTTGACTGTTAGTGTTAATGACAATAATGTTATGTTGCCAACAGTTCGATTCTACTACTACTAGTACTAGAATAACTATAACTTATAAGTAATATCGGAAAGTCCAGCTGTGTTATTTAGGTAATAGAAAAAGGGGGCATAAAATGGCCAAGGCGCGCTCAGCCTTAGGAAAGTACATGATTAATGTAAACGCTCGTGGGGGAGTCGTGCGTTTTTAGCTTTTGCATTAACACAAACATTACAAAATATCCCAAATGACCACAATCATATTTCTAAATGTTTCTGTAAACAGAAACGCAAATTAGTAATTCTCTTCAGTAACATCGCATTTCAATTCACAGTTCTCTCATAGATCAAAAACCTGGACTGGTACTATCGTAACCATGTTATATATAGATCATATATCATTATATATAGACTGCTGATGTACGTGGCTTTATTTAAAAACTTAATTAACAGCGGACCTAAAGAAAACGTGAAGGAAATTTAGGACATCAAAGCAATGCATGATAACTTGTACGTCTATAGCCACACCAGGCGATTAGTACACTACAGTACCAGACAAGACAAAACAAGACTATAGGCAACTTATCACTCCTCTTATCTGATCTTAATATGGTGGCGGGGATTTTCCGATATGGCTTATTTGCTGCTTAGGTACATTTAGACACCAACAGCTGCAACTCACACGTCATGAGAAATATTTTATGAGGGTAGATTGGATATGCATGCAACTGCATGGCTCTACATTTGCATGGTTGAATAAAAGATATACACATATCTCTTCTCTATCTATCTGCATGTGCAAAGTGGTGTGTGTGCAGTGGCATTGTGTTTTAAAGGTAAATCTGGTTATCAGAATATAACAGTACCACAAGACTTATTGTAAATAACAGTCATGACTAAAACCTGTGCTCTCTTTTGTTAAACCTGTCCTTCCTCAAAATAATTTTTTTTAAGGAACATATGGCCAGTAGTTACCCAGCCATCTTTGTTCAATATGTTAATAACTGGGTATAATATCATTCAATGTCGTAATCTGAACGTGCAACACGTCACTCCTTAAATGAAGCTGCCCTCTCTTTTCTTAAATATTCAGTTTTTCCTAAAAATGTAACAGTTTAAGGAAAGTGTTTGTGAGTTACCCATGCAACTTTTTTTCAATAATAATTTCAATTTTGGTATAATTTCCTTATTGTAATCTGAATATTTAATTTACAGGAATGAAATGAAGTTCTTTAATAGAATTACAACAAGAACACAAAATTCAGGTATGTATTATCACACCTGTAAAATGTGTCGCATTTATCTTTCATTGTTTTCACTAATTGTACTCAAAATAAAGTTTAAGCAATTTTACCAAAATGAATGTAGTTCAAAATAAAGTTATTTATGACAATGTGTATAAAGATTTTTACTGCATTGTGATTTCAGAGAAAAGGAATGCTGTTATCATGGGAAGAAAGACATGGTTCTCAATCCCAAAAGCCCACCGACCACTCCCAAATAGAGTTAATGTTGTACTGAGTAGGAGCTTACAGTAAGGTTACAGTAAGCTTACAGTAATAATTGACCATCATAGCATTAACTGAATTGTTTTGCCTTTTTTCTTCACATCGTGTATTGAAACAGAACATGTTGGATTACGTTCTTTATATACAATAATTTGTGAATGTTATATGTATGAGAATTCCACAAATTATGTCTATTATTCCATGTGCCAACTGCATTTACAGAGAGAGGCCTGAAGGAGCACATCACCTAGCACACGATTTTGAAGAAGCCATACATTGGTTAACTTCTCCATCAAGATGTGAGGATGTGGAAAACATTATGGTTATTGGTGGAAGTGATGTCTATAAGGTTTCGTATATTTTTTGTCATTAATAGAGCTGATCTTTTCCAATGAATTTGTATGTTTAATTAAAGTAAGAATATGCGAGTCTAATCTGCACAGTTGATGATTAACAGAATAACAGTTACCTTGTATCATTTATCACTAGTTGTGGGTAACTTGAATCACAACCGCCGAAGCGGGTGTAACAGATTTCTGCACCACTTATTTTCATATGCATGCTCAGCTCGGCGCTATCGTTAGAACATAGTGTACACATCTCTTTGCTACTCCAACTAGTATTGTCACATGTTCACAGTGTTGTTTATAGAGGGTTCCGCGACTTGCACTAAAAATAGCAATATTACCTACAATCCTGTGCCGCCGGCCATCTCTGTTCCAAAAAGAGCGAACATGTGTTGCGTGTAATCTGTAGACTGGTACTCGCTCCCATTTCTCAGCTTAGTTACTCGATGGCTCCATCCGTTGAGAGGTGGGAGCGAGTACCAGTCTATGTAATCTGCCGATCTGCACAATCAACTGATTTTACATTAGCTATAGTGTTATTATTGCAATAGATATTAGCAGTAAGTGGATCCAGATTTTGCAGACAGGTTTATCAGCGTGTGTTGGGGTGCTCCGCTAGAGTTCAATGAGATTACACAGGTCAGGTTTTGCAGGGCTTTGCATGCAGGCTTATTAGCGTTGCGAGGTTGCACGCAACACATATGTTCATGGACTTGAGTTTGTTTACACCGCGAGTGTTCAGAAATTTCACCGATTTTATTGCATATAGAGCTCTATCAAACGCATCATTTTATAACATCTGGTGTATGCACATTTGCCAACTGTCTGAAGTGTACGTAGTATGGACAAGTACTTTGATTCACTAGACAACGTAGCCAAAGCATGCTATCTCGTGAAAATTGCGTGCATTGGGAATCGACACCCGTACGAGAATGGAGTGAGGACCACAACTTGTGCCCATCACAGACTTATTAGGATCTCGTGAATTGACTACCTAACATTCTAGCCGAGTCCATTTTATACTCTCAATTAGGACTTTCAGAACCACAAAAGCCTGGATGCCTACGATCGACTGTTCTGCGGTTGGGTTAGTGGTGTATCAGTCTACATCTATCATGTGAACAGTGAGAGTCCCATCTACGTTATCCGAGCACGTGTTATGCACTCCCAGTCTCTGATTATACCATCTCTCTATCCGTGCATGGGTCACGATGAGATAAATGGAACAGGCATCATGTCACCACACTGTAATTGTAAAGCCTGGCTTGGTGAATTCTGTTCACATGTTGCCTTGATGCTATTTTATGTAGAGTATGCTGCACGTGCAAGAGAAATCACCACCCCACTCAAACAGCTGCCTACTGGATGCCGGCGATATATGTATATAAGTGTAAATGTGTAGCGGCGTGCGCTGTGCGTGCGGTGTACCTGTGTGTTGCAGAGGAGCATTTGACCGGCATTTACAGGTAATTATCGGCAATACTATGCGAGAGAGAGTAGAGAAACATTAAGACATTGGTAGTAAATACATTTTGTGTTTATTCCGCATTACTTTTTTATTGAAAATGCTCCAAGCGTCTGTGGTCCGCCTTGTCTCTCGTCATTTTACCTTGTGTTGTGATCACGCTAGGCAGCCTAAAAAAGTTGTGTGGCTCTCTCTGATACCGATTGCTGCAGTTGACAACACCGCAGGAGAGCGGCGTTGTGAGGGATTTGCTTAATAGGCGAATAAAATGAGCAGAGTTGCATTGCTCAATGTACTTGTACATTGTCTGAACTGGTTTCTGGAACCCTAATGGCCAGCAGCGTTGCATTATGGGTAATATGAAAAATTGCGGAACCCTCTATAGGCCTGTTACTAGGTAAAATTTTGACTGAATTTTCAATCATGTCGGTTGTTGATGAACAACATTCTAAAGACTGGTTTGTAAAGTAACCAGTAGTGAAACTGGACAAACTAATATGAATTTGGCAGTAAGGTTATATACTTATAGATGACACAATTAGTAGGTGTCAGTTGTTCTGTTTTTCGTCAACAGTGCAGGTTAGATAGTCATATTCATAGACAGCAAGGATAAACATTGTCCATTTAATTTTTGAGAATAGAGTATAGCATGATTATGTATTATTTGTTTTTGATGCATTTTTCTGTAATTTTCTGATTTTTAAGTGCTTATTGTGGGAAGTCTAAAAGTTCACCTGTCATTCATTGTCTATCTCGACTATAATCATTATTGACATCTGTCATAAATTACAGGTAGCTATGGATTCCCCATATTGTCACAAAGTGTACCTCACAAGAGTACTGCAAGACTTTGACTGTGACACATTCTTCCCTATGTTTGACGAATCACAATATGAATTAATCAGGTACACAACATGTACATGGAAGTATGATCACTCTACGTGCAATATGTATAGTTTAGGGGGCTAATAGTTAATGGCATTAATATTATATATATTGATATACAGATATGTGCATATTATCTACAAGTATACATATATGTTAATACTTTACATGAAGTTCAGAGTGAGTAAAAACAAATAGTTTTTTTTTACTCTTGATGAAGTGGTTATATGTGAGGCTAATCTTTTGTGAACTGTTTGTTTCAGTCATATTTGATTGTCGTAATAAACTTGATCGAAAAATGTATGCATTGCTTTTGAAAATTATCACATTATATTATGTCTTTATTTATAGTGACCCAGATGTGCCAGGGGAAATTCAAGAAGAGAATGGCATTCCTTACAAGTTTCACGTGTACCAGAAGAAGCAGCAGCATTAAACAGATGAAGCCATAATTATGCCTGCTTGTGATCAGGAAAATGATTTGACATTTAGCATTTGTTTTTTGTTGTAATTTTGAGGTTACAATTGAAAAAATAGAATAAGTTAACCATAATAAGAAATATCTTCAGTCTGCGCACATCGAGCTATTCCATATAGTGAGAATGAGATACATTTGTTCATAGTAATGTATAAAAGGTAGAAGATTTACATTTTTAGCTCACCTTGACATCGTCAAGATGAGCTATTGCCATGGGTCGTCGTCCGTCGTATGTCTGTCCGTCCTTCCGTCAACATTTGGCTACGGTCAACGATAACTCAGGAACCGTTTGACCCACATGTTTGAAATTGGGTATAGTTGTTACTGCTCTATGGGAGAGGTCTATATTGGAGCACGCCAGTCGACCTACTTTCGAGCCACGGCAATTTTTTGGCAAAAATGGAAATTTCCATTAGTCAGTTCAGGTTCAACGGATTTTGCTCATTTTTGGTATGTGAATGAATGAGGGCTGGCCCCAAAACGTATTACAGGGGTTTTGATATTTAAAAAAATTATGCAAATTAGGTAGGTTTTGGCAATTACATAGCATATTATATAGACACGCAGATAACAGTCTGTGGTGTCACACTCGTCTGGTTCGTTTTACAAGATTTCATTGGTATTTCCTCTCCACCCTGCCGATAAAACGTCTATATTAGAGTAAAGTTTTACAAAACATGTCGGAACGCAGCATAACCTATTTATTTCGAACGCCGTCGCTAAGAAACATCAAAGCGAGTATAGCGCCATCTACCGTCACAAATTGTGATTCATTTTGGTTTATAAATTATTATTGCGATATATACAGATGGCAACCGTGTGCTACCGCCTAAAAAAACTCATACAAAGTAAACACTTCCATGCAACCAATTAACCTTTGACAAAAGTTGTGTTATGGGTAGGGAAACACCGTTGTCACGTGGTATATAGCAGCTACGTGGAATAAGCGTATCCTCTCAATCTTACACGTTACACATCGGGTGCTCCGCTTTTAGGCAGTGCCTAAATCTGAATATTATAAAAACGTTAAATGGCGATCATTTAGGTGTAATGCCATCACTCGCCCACATCTCAGACTTTCACATCTCAAACATTTATTTTCACATACAAAATTACACATATAATTATCAAGAGTATAGAATGGGAGTTCTCCCATATATACTCTTCGTTTCTATAATGTACGTCGATGGTTGCTCAATTAAAACTGACTTCTTCTCACTCACTCATTTGTATGGAAAGCTATCCCTTTCAAAAATCATTTTCAAACATTTAAAATACACAATTTTAAATAAATTTAAAACATTTCAAATTAATTAATAAAAATACAAATTACTTTATATTGTTCGAGAAATTTTAATTCAAAATTTAAAATCAATTCACAGAATAACAAATCAATTTATTAACTTGCAAATTAATTTACAACTTTACACAATGTGAATTAGTGATACGATGAGATGATATATATACATTACATATATCAAGAGTCCATAATAGAATAATTATGTTCAAGTGGATGTACAATGAAGCCCAACAAAATAATATACATGATCATGATGATACGTGAAAAGGGTGACATACATTATATATATATAGCTATATCAGGGGTTACATAATGACAAATTGTAATTTGTTAATTGTAAATTGTCAAATAATGACAATTTGTCATCCCCTGGTAGTCATGGCTAGAAGATATCGTATTTGTTTCATGCGATGAAAAAATACTTTATTTATATTAGTGTACGTAGTGAGTGTGTTAGTCAAACTTTTTTGTGTGTATATTCTTGGTAGTTATCTAATTTCATGAATTTAAAATTTATTGTAACAGTATGTATAAACCATAGAGTTGTATAAATATATAACTCTATGGTATAAACACAGCGTATAAATAAAATAAAATACGTAAGCGTTTTTCTATTGGATAATTATCGAGTTCCGGTCAAATTTTTGGCGCTCTACGCGTTTTCCGGTAAGCATTGGAGAGATAACGAGAAATAGTAAGTTGTTAATAATTTGTTGACAATAAGTTTGTTGATTTGTGTGGTAATATTCTTAGCAAAGTTCAACAAATACAATTTACATACAAATCAATTGTGCTTAGATTGTTAACGTCATCTTACCGTTGTTATAAATTAGAGGTATAACTGTACTTGTCATTTTTGTAGTCTCAGTACGGTATCTCTCACTCAGTCGCTGACACTGACAGCATGCTCGGAGTCTGGGTGTGAGTCTGTACTCTGTAACAGTCTACAGAGTCTGTTAATCATGCTCAATCCTAGTTTGGGACCCCGAAAATGTGTTTTCACAAATGTGCTAAACTAATCCGGGTGCTAAACTAGGATTCACCTGAGCCGGTGCAAATCCACTTTAGGCACCTTAGGTATCACGAAGTGATGCACAGCTAGGTTTCTGTGTATCATCAACTGATGCACAGACTTTCCGTATATCAAAGAATGATGCAAAAACCCTAAACCTAACCCTACCAGTAACACACTTCGTGATACCATAGATATATATACAACACATACAACACATGTGTTGTATATATCTATGGTGATACCTAAGGCTAAGGTTATACTTTATGACTTAGGGTTAGGGTTTTTGCATTATTCCTTAATATACGGAAAGTCTGTGCATCAGTTGATGATACACAGAAATCTGTGCATCAGTTGATGATACACAGAAATCTGTGCATCACTTCGTGATACCTAAGGTGCTTAAAGTGGATTTGCGCCGCTCTAGTACTATAGCCCGCTTACATTAACTGCCGCAGGCCTGCGGCAGTTAATGTAAGCGGGCTATAGTACTAGAGCTAAGCCCACAGCTACAGGCACTTGGAACGTCTCAAAAAAGAAGAAGAAAGGTAAATGAACACGAAATGTATTTACTACCAAAGTCTTAATGTTTCTCTACTCTATTTTGCCTATTATTGCCGATAATTACCTGTAAATGCTGGTCAAATGCTCATATGCAAAACACAAGTACACCGCACGCACGCCCTGTGCACAAACAACAAGAAGAAAAGAGCAGACCTGTAGGAATGCGTGATCACAAAATTCGCTCGACGCTCGCTTCATTTCAGACGCTTACAGAAAAAATACACAACCAACAGCCTCCATCTTGGTATCTATGTGTAGCTAAATGGCCACTTGTTCGAATCATAACTATCTCCTTTGTTCTTACCTACTCCAGCCGGAGATATCTCGTGAAATCATGCGGGAAAGATGGAGGCTGTTGGTTGTGTATTTGTTCTGTAATGGTGTGAAATGAAGCGAGTGTCGAGTGAATTTTGCGATCATGCTTTCCTACCTGCTCTCTTATTCATGTTGTTTGTGAACAGGGCGTGCGTGCGGTGTATTTGTGTGTTGCAGATGAGCATTTGACCGGCATTTACAGGTAATTATCGGCAATAATAGGCGAAATAGAGTAGAGAAACATTAAGACATTGGACTGGTAGTAAATACATTTCGTGTTTATTTACCTTTTTTTTATTGAGACGTTCTAAGTGCCTGTGTGCCAGGCAAGGCTAATCAATGACAATGACAATGTATTGTTCAATTTGTTGGCAGTTGTGAAATGTGATCTGATCTGTGATCACATTGTCACATTGGCGATTGGGTCGAAGCCTAGGCACTGGCATTTCAAGTGCCACTTTGGCTGTTGTTCAATAAGAAGTTATGGTAAATAAATGGCCAAATAGTAACTAGTACATGTATAACTAGACAGAGGGCACTCACGGAGAGTGCATACCTCCGCGAGCGTGTAACATGTATACATGTGTATAACAGCTGGCTCGCTGGCTGCTGCTGACTGGACGCCCTAAGGCGAGCTGCTGCTGACTAGACGAACTAAGGCAAGCTGCTGCTGACTGGACGCCCTAAGGCGAGCTGCTGCTGACTGGACGCCGTAAGGCAAGCTGGTGCTGAATCGATCGCGCCAACGCTACACACACACACGAACACACACGAGACCGATTACATGACCACCGTTGCGCGGATGTAATAACATGCAGGAAAAGTGTCACATGCATGACTATGTTTGATGAGCAAATAATGTCAATATGGATTTTCAGATATTAAATACTAGTTGCTCCCATTTACATTTCTGCAAAGGACAAATTTTACAAGGGTTTTACAAGATTAATCTGCGTAAATTACGTTATAATCAAGTGATAATTCAAACATATCTGAGCTCGATCATCTGAGCGTGATCATTACTTACGACACGTGTTATCTTGAAAGGATCCCTTTAAGTTAGCTGTAAGCTTATTTGTTTCTGCCATTCCATATTGGAATTCCTTCCCTTCCTCATTAGTTAGTTGCAAACTTGAGGCTTTTTCTACTGCGATCCCCAGTATTGATCTGTCTATTTTTGATCAACTTTGAATGGCCGTGTATTTGTGCTGTGATAGTGTGAAATGAAGCGAGCAGTATGTAAATTTGGCACTCTTGCTTTCCCAACTGCTCTATCTGCACTGTGTGCGTGTCTTTGTGTGTGCGTTTGTACATAGTGGTGTTTATGCAGAAAGATGATGTGCTTTAGAAGAGCGTTTGAACTGCATTTACTTGGAATTATTAGACAATAGAGGGCATATATACATTAAGACTTGATAGTAAGTACAATTTGTGTTTATTTATTATAATGTGTTTATTAAAATGCTTTAAGTGCCTCTGGCACTAGCCAGCATTGCCTGGTTTGATTATGTGCATTCAGTCATTGTTTACAAAATGAAAGGTAAATTCAAGCAATTTTTAATTGCATAACCATTAACCAATGACCATCCTTTACTGTAGAATAACCTCAAAACATTTTACTATAATGTAAAAATTTGACAAGAACTAACCTTAAATTGACTACGTCACGAATTTTCTATGGTAAAATTGTTAAAATAAAATTGCCATTTTTTTACATTAAAATTTAAAAGTAAGAACTAACGTTACTAAATATATCCTCAAACTCTCACCTGATAAAAATGTTTTTACGTTGGTTAAATTGGCAAAAATCTAGACGATTTGGTAATTTCTGTTGTCTAACACTATTCCCCCAGTACTGTTCAGATACTGGCATCTCTCGGTTTTCACCGGCAAATTAGGGCATATAAAGAAGGTATATATTGCATGAAAAGTAAACAGAAACACTAAAAATTTTGTATTTTCATACATTTTATTTTGTACAAATAACACACAAATATACTACTTGATGGTGCTAGAAATTCGTGACGTAATCACTTTAACTATAAAATTCAAGAAAACACCCTGTTTGTGTAGGCTCATAATGGACCTTGTTTCAAAATCAAACTGAGTGTGATCAGTGGTATTTATTAACTGCACGTGGTAGTATATGAGGTATAATCAGTGATGGGAATCGGTTGGAATTTCATCATCGATCAATCATCGGTTGCACGCAACTGATCGATGATCGAAGATAATTGTTTGAATGTTATTGATCGCTGCTACCAGTTATTAAAATATATCATATAATACAAATTACAATATTCTAAGAGCTATGTAATAGTATTATACTTGATTATGTTTGGTGTAGGTTAGATATACTGTCTCCAAGCTGTAAAGTAACCTCACAAATTACAAAAATAATATAAAGAGTCATTTCATCAATGTTTACAAATTTTATTTCAATTAATATTTTTTGGTAATCAATTAATTATTTTGATAATCAAGCGCTTAATCGGTTGCTGCAAACGACTGACTTTCGATTATAATCGATCATTAGAACATCACTAGGTATAATGATTAAAACTAGTGCTATGGAGATAAAATGCAAGCATTTTTAAGGCAATGATTTCCAATAGTCTTCCTAACCATTTTCCTATTTTTGCAACCATTGCAACACTTACTGGTATTGCTTGCATTACAGCAAGTCTCTAAAGTAAAGCTAACATCTTGGAACACTGGTGCATTGTGACTTTTACCAAAATATGCTGTGACTGAAATCTGTTTGTTGACTTCATGTTGACGTGGTTATACGGTGAGGTACCGTGTTTCTGGCAAGACCCTGTCCTTACATTTTGTTAATGGTAACTTTTATGGTAATGGTAATGTTAATGGTAAGCAATATAGACATTGTACAACTATATAACCACTAGGTTACTTAATGAGATGTAATCTTGTCTGGCAGTTGCCAATCTAAACCTTATGTCAGCACATGACACGCTCAGCAAACGTATTTCTTGAATACCCTGGAGCTTTGTCGGCTCCAACTTTCTCCTAGGCTGCATAGAGTAACTTTCAATGTTTTTTCAGGCAATGGCAGAATTTAAGGAGAAGATAAAAAAAGAGGTAAATAAGAACTAATTTTTTGTTTACTTGCATATAATCAGGAGTTAATAAAGACAAACTGTCTTTATTAACTCCTGATATAATCATGTGTGGTCAGTTCTGAAGGACCTCTTGTTCACAGAACTCTACTTACAAGTATGCTGCTGTTATTGTGTGTGCATTGGCAAATGATTTCCAATTTCAATTAATAATGTCCAGTAAAATTTTATTATTTATTGGCAAACAGTTGCACGTACATTAACTGTTATGCTTAATATTCTTTCTGATAGGCTGAACAGTTGGTCAATGATGTATTTCTGAAGAAAGTGCAAGAACTTGATGATTTACTTCTGGTAAGGTGGGAGGGATGTGGTTTACAATTGAATAGGAAAAGTAACATTTAATCTGCTATTCTAATGAACGGATGTACTACTATAAATAATACTAATGAACACTGCTAATGAATATTGACCTGTCACCAGCAATAAGCAAACAAAAAAGAGTTGGTTAATCTTGATTGTATCTGCTATTCATTGCTTGTTACACGTTAGGTAACTAAGATGCCTAAAATTGCTATTCATATATAAAATCAAGATGATTGTGTTTTCTTAGAAATTATTTAACAGTGTATAATTATTTATTTATTTCAGTCGCCACTGTTTGCAAACAAAGATCTTAATCTCTTGCATATGGATATAAATATACCAGTGCCCCCACCTGCTGGGGGAGCTGCAAACTGTGATGGAATGGTATGCCATAGTTTAGTATTGCATTTCTAAATCAAGTATGTTTCAAGTATGTTTATTAGCTACGTCACAGGAAATCTCGTTCATCAGCCCAGCTATTACCTAGCTATAACCAATATCACCAGCACCTATCATTAGATAGCTGTGCTACTAATTTTTATTTCTGTTGCCCTAATAATGTTTCTTACAATACAGTCGCATGATAAAAAGTTTATAGGTGAATATTTTAAATACTTTATTTATCACAATTGTCACTGACTGGTTGCTTTTATTCATTTTCAGCCAGTAAAGAAGAGAAAGCTAGACGTGGTCGAAAATGAGATTGGTAATAATAAAGACCAGTGTGCATGAAAATGTTCATTAATATTAGTTGCTCAGACTATCATACTATAGCCAGATAAAATAAGTAGTCATTATAAAATGCAATCAGCCATTAATATCAATAACCACTCATTAGCAAATTTTGAAATCAAATTTTAATTTATTTCTTGGAGGTTTAAAATAATAAAAAATTGACCAAAGTAGAATTAAATTTAAAAAACTTAAGGATTATACTCTCCACGTTGTGCATGAAATTTCATCGATTTTTCGTTTTCAACTTTATTCGATGGCTAACACTATGTGCCACCTGTGTACATGCTAATTTCTCCATATAACAGTACATGTGAACTGTCAGAGCGTTTTTGCTTGCCCGCGTACATGTGTAGTAAGCAGTGGCTGATGTCATTATGACATCAGAGACATGATGCACCCACAATATTAACTAAGCTGGTATCATTAAGTGTCAACCCTGCTACAGCTGTCATTACATGTATTCATGTACATTCATGTACATCTGCTAGTGATCCAACAAGTATCCCACGCCCAAAATAGTTCTAACACCTCGCAACACACCTTACATTGGTGGGCGTACATCACTGGCGTTTGTTGACATATTAGCTTTGTGATGTCAGGATGAGCGGAGTTCGCACGTTCTGCGATGGTAACCTTGTAATTTCTCAGAATTTCTGGCGGAAGGTGCATGGAACATTTTACCAATTTAGTGGTGTCAGTTAGTCATGGATATGTCGCAGTAAGTACTAACAATAGATATATCACATACGTTCACCCATTTTGCACACAGGCGGTCACTCATTGTGAAAAATAGAAAAACGCTGATTTCGCCGTTTCGATTTCTGACATAGCCGATGTATAAATGGATATTTCTCTGTGATTACAACTCGGATTAATTTAATTTTACACTCGTTTTAATGATAACATATTGTGGTAAAAAAGCGCGTCAGGGATTGTTATTAAGTGCCGTACTTTATTAGTTATGCCTCTTTATTCGCTAAAATTTTCTATTTTTTCACACAACTTGATTTTTAAGCAGTTTTTTCGAGTTTTCTCGGTAAATATGTAAATTAAAGAAAAATCCTGACGCGCTATTTTGGTCCATATTGTGCTTAACATGTGGCAAAAATTTTGTAACTATTTGATATGGTTAGGGTTAGTGTTAGGGAGTAGGCGTAGGCGACTCCCTAGACTCGTTAGTGGAGTAGGCGAGGTACGGTCCGGCATATTAGATAGTACCAGTTCCGGTATACCGGACCGTACCCAGGGTACTTTCCGGCAGTACCCTGGGGGACATAGACCCTCTCAGCGTTACTACACGTAACCTAACATTACCAGTAACAGCTACAGAATAAAATTAACTGCGTCATCGGGCCTATCGTCCTGCCTAACATAGAATTAGACAAAAATGAATTACTGTCCCGGGGCACTCCCTACAAAATAGGGCAGGTATGTGCCACCCGCTTGAGAGATGGAATTGGAGGGGTCCGGTACTAACTCAGCACATCAAAATGGGGGTCTCCAGAACTAGGGTTTGCTGGAAAGTACGATGCTCCGGAACTGGACATGTTGGTTTGCGAGAGGAGGCCTCCGGAACGTGCGGAAAAAGTAGGTCCTATGCTCCGGGACGGGAAATATATATGTGAAAAGGGGAGTCTCCGGTGCGGAAATTTTGAGGTGAAAATGGGGGTCATAACCGCGGCACATACCTACCATACATTATATAGGGAGTTGCCCCCCCCCGGATTACGGTATCGTCGTACGTTTATACTTGCAGATACGTGTATGAAAAACAGGGATTGATGCAGAATGATGCTCGGGATTACGATTAATACAACTCTGTCGACTAGGAACTAGAATTATAGCATGCAAATTATATATATTATATACTATAACGCGATACAAAACCGCGCCTCGTTTCCTGCTGAGAGGTATCGCAGCTGTCGCGCACGCCAATGAAATGAGATGAAATGATATAAATTCATGCTAATAAAACTAGTTTTATTACAGCTATTATGTAATAAAAAGCGTAATGCTTTCTGGTGTCATAAAGTGCACACTACCGGGAAATCGAGTGAAACAAGCTGAATTCTTCACTAATGTGTAGGTATTGGTCCATATAAATCCCAAAAGAAGTTACAAAATTTTCGTTGGTCGGAAACTTTTTTACGGGCCACGCCCTTTTTCCGATTTTCGCGATTATGGGAAAATTGTGTAAATCTTACCTGAACACTTTATAGTCATGTTATACATGTTAATAGAGGTATTTTGGGGCGGGGAGTCGATTCCAACGGTTAAGACTTAATTCACCAATTAAGCTCAATTAAGCTCAGTCGAGTACCAAAATTTCGGTGTTTTCTGACATATGGCATGTTAGGTATGCTTTCTGGGTTTTTTTTTGGATGCCCGATCGAATTCTGGTATTATTTAAACACTCAGAAGTATGATTCATCCCTAAAACGTGTTATAGATCGATCATTAATAACCATACGCGTTACTGTTTAAATTTAAACAAGTATTGATTATGAAGCTTTACGAACTCGACAACCCGAAGATACTCAATAAAGAATCATACACATAGGATTTGATTGAATACAAACAATAGAATATAATTTGTTCTTAAACAGAACTATTGTATCACAATCGTCCAGGAAGAGTAACAAGTCTAATGCACTGTACAAAAAATTAACTTACAGCATGTCCCCAAATCAACCAAAGCTATCAAAATAGTCCTATATATCATAACTTATAGTACAATAATTAGTACAATATTATAACTTATAGTACAACAAGTTTAGTCGATAAATTGGAAAAGTCAATCTTCTGGGACATCTTCTTCGGCGTCCCCTACCGATCCTTGATCTTCCTCATCATCTCCGGTTTCCTGGTTGCCGGTTAAACTTACAGTCTGGTTCTCACAGTTGTCACAGCCACAGAAATCAGTACACTGGAGGTCAAGCTGCTTGCAGCCACATCGCTTTGAAGAGCAGTTAGTTTTACACCCACAGCTAATGGATCTGAGCAAATTGGGAGGTGCCACTGCCTTGTCTGTGTAGAGGGGTCCATACTTGCCATCGGAGTTCAGAACCCACCCATATTCTGAGGGGTCAAGAGTGTTAAATAGCCACTCTTGTACCTGATGGTACACTCTGAGACAGTGGTACTTCGCAGCTGAGGAGGTGGGAGGGAGCCGTCTGTGGTCAACTTTTCTATGTACAGCTCCTTTCTTCTTGTGCAGAGCATTTAGGAAGAGCTTGTGGCGCAACTTGTCTAGTGACAGCAAGGGAGGATCTGTTGACTTGGTGTACATCTGGATAATGATCTCACTCCTTGCTTTAACCATCCGGTCTGTTGACTCCTACAGTAGAATTCGGCTGTGCTCGCTGTCATCTTCTCCAGGATCTTTGACTTGAACAACCGCGTCTTACCGAAGCCAAAGAAACCTGATGTTGTGTCACACCCCGACATTGCATGGTTGAGAAGGAGCGTGTTGAGTGTAGGCTCGGGGAGGGCTTGGGCAAGAGATCCGATATCCAGCACGGTGTTCCCCGGTTGTTTCAGATATACGCAGTGCTTAGGTGAGCGCATGTGGTGAAGCATCATAACTAAGATGTCACTGTCCTCAGCGACCACACACACATGGCTTCTCTCAGAGAGCTCCATTGCTTTTCGTACAAAATATGAGTCTGCATCAGCTACACACTGGCTAACGTGGTAGAGCTCCACTTCTAGCCCCTCCATCAACAAGCCAATGAACTTGTGTTTGTTTTTTGGATTCGAGAGCAGCAGCTCCCGCTCACAGTCCACAACATTGTCAACCGCTTTGTCTATTTCTAGAGATGATATCGGGCATCTTGTTGTGTGTACCATGTCCTTAGTACTGGGTTGCATGTATCCATCAAAGATGATGTAAGTGTCTTCGGGATGGGGAAAGTGCTTCTTAACATAGGTAATATAGCACTGCACAACTTCTCCGTAGGTTGTCCCTTTCTCCTACGGCACAGTGTAGAAGAGGAGACCCCCATCTACTACTATCTTCAGCTTCTCTGGCATCACACCACACACCGTTGTCTGCTTTATAATGCTGCCCAGGTCAGCTTTGGCGACAGTTCTTAGGGTACCGTTATCGTTGCAGATCGAGGGTGGAAAATGGGCAAAATGGTAGCAAGCATATACTGTACTGAGTGTACTTTTGCACTTTATATTTGCGGCACTATAGTCTGTATTTTATTATAATAAATTTTATAATAATTTAAGAGTGATATTAGAGTAATATAGAGAGATCTATATAAAATTAGAGCTTAATTTAGCTTAATTGGTCAATTAAGCCTTAACAATTCAATTTATGAATAAACTAGCTGACTGTTGGAATCGACTCCCCGCCCCAAAATACCCCTATTAACATGTATAACATGACTATAAAGTGTTTAGGTAAGATTTACACAATTTTCCCATAATCGCGAAAATCGGAAAAAGGGCGTGACCCGTAAAAAAGTTTCCGGCCAACAAAAATTTTGTAATTTTTTGGGGGGTTTATATGGACAAATACCAACACATTAGTGAAGAATCCAGCTTGTTTCACTCGATTTCCCAGTAGAGGCTTTATTTGGCACTTTATGACAGGACCCCCACGAATTTACCCGACGACGCGCGACTACAGACGCGATCGATGCTCGAAGTGCGATATACTTTCAAGTGCTATAGTGATACCACTAATTTTACAGTTTCTAGGCTATAATCTCCTTTAGCTTAACTGTAGCAAAATAAATAGGTAACGCGGAGAGCGCCGTTAATCACGTTTATTGCATTTTCTTTTAACTAATTTGTTAAACATTCGAAACACGCGCGATATGAGGTGAAATATTAACTTGTTACTTCTGGCTGATGTCGTGATGTATCACGTGGTATCTCATCGTCACCGTGACGTCACAGTGCATGGCTACGGCGCGGATCGTCATCACGGTCTGCTCGAAGTCAAACGTAACGTTGTAG